TTTAGGGTTTAGGGTTTAGGGTTTAGGGTTTAGGGGTAGCAATGTAAGGTACTGATGAAAGGGTGTCAGATTTCTAAGATTCAGGGAAAGTTTAGGGTGTAGGGTTGAGGCTTTATGAGGTTTAGGGATAAACAACTCGCTGGAATGCGTCTGGTTCATATTGGGGTCTTGGCTAAATAGGGGTTGACGTAGGGCTACATGCGAGTTTGTGCTATCTTCTCCAACTCCAGATGATGAATCTGTTCCTGCGCGAACTGAAGACTGGAGTTCAGCACTACACCCGTGAAGCCCTACACAGCATGTGTCCGGCTCACCGTGGAATGGCCTGTTACTCAGGGGACCACGCGTTTTCCTGAAATCCGATGTGCTATGTTCCCTAATCCTAAACCCTCAGACCGAGCTGCTTTTTCAAGGAGTCGCGGAAGAAGGTACGGGTACCTTGCATCTCAGGGCCGGCAAGGGAAGCGTGAGTCATGAGGCGCAGGGCTTTCTGGCAAATTGTAACCTTTTTTGGTATTTGATTATTCGTATAGTATAGTATCGTATCGTATAGTATAGTATAGTATATTATCGTATGTTATGGTATATTATAGCATATCATGTACCTTGTGGTAGATTACAGACTAAAGGGTTTGGTAAGACGATCTGGGTACATGCGAGCATCTTGTCATGCTCCGAATTGTACGCACGAACTTCTGGGTCATCACTGGAGTCGTACGTGGTAACAGTATGTCGAAACTCGACACCTGTGACGGAGCACCATCTTCAAACTTCCAGATCTCGAAGTACCCAACCCGAGACCCTAAACCCTAAACCCTAAATCGTGGCTCGGCTCTGAAACGTCTACATGTGGAAATGCGGACTTCCGAGATCCGTGACTCGGGAAGATCTGTTTAGCTTTAGATACTCAGAAGTGTTTATGTCCGGAGTCGTGAGCATTTTGCTGATGCGTACAAGCGTTCCAACAATACTGCTGCTCCTCCGCGTCCTCCTCCGTCAGACTCGTCCTATATATTCCAACCCAATGCCTACTATTAACGGCTAGAGCAACAACGACGACGCCACCACCACCACCACCACCACCACCACCACCACCACCACCACCACCACCTGCTACTACTACTACTACTACTACTACTACTACTACTACTACTAGCCACTACTACTACTCCTACTACTACTGCTACTGCTACTGCTACTGCTACTGCTACTGCTACTGGTACTGCTACTGCTACTCAGCCCCTGAACCCTCACACCCTCCGAAACCCCTAAACCCTATAACCCCTAAAACCTGAACCCTAAACCCTCAACCCCTAAACCCCTAAACCCTAAAGCCCTAAGCCCCCAAAACCCCCCAAACCCCCAAAACCCCCAAAACCCTCCGAACCCCGCAAAACCCAAAACAACTTGTGTCAACGGACTCCTACAACCTAAACCCTAAGCCCTAAACTTGCCGTAAACCGTCAAAACCCAAAAGAACTTGTGTCAGCTGACTCCAGGATCGGTAGTCGTAGAGCCGCCTGCCATCTACCTCCGGGGCTTGGTCTTCAGGGTTTTCGGATTCAGAGTTTAGGGGTTCAGGGTTCAGGGGTTTAGAGTTTAGGGGTTTAGGGTTCAGGGGTTTAGGGTTTCGTGGTTTAGGATTTAGGGGTTAGGGTTTAGAGTTTAGGGGTTCCGGGCTCAGGGCGTAGGGTTTAGAGTTTCGTGGTTTAGGATTTTAGGGTTCAGGGTTTAGGGTTTCGTGGTTCAGGATTTTAGGGTTTAGAGTTTTGGGTACAGAGTTTGCTGTGGAAACAGCGCATAGTGAAGCGCAGCGTGCTGGAGCGATGAGCGGTGAAGCTTGTCTACCCTAAACTGGCCCTAAACCCCAAACCTACCAAAACCTTAACCCCCAAACCTAAAACCTAACACCTAAACCCTAAAACCTAACACCTAAACCCTTAAACCAAAGCCCTAAACCCCAAACCCTAAAACCTAACACCTAAACCCTAAAACCTAACACCTAAACCCTAAAACCTAACACCTAAACCCTAAAACCGAAAACCTAAACCCTACAACCTAAACCCTCTGGAATCTGCTCGCGCAGGGGCTCTCTCGGGTGGCCCGGATCCCAAAACATGGAGCCAGCTTTCCCGTGGTTTTAGGCTTAATGTAGGGGCCCTTTAATAATTAGAATAGGGTTTTGGAGGTTCCCTATTATGAATATAGTATAATGGTCCCCAAACCCTATTCTAACTATTAAGGCCCCTATATTATAGGGTTTGGGGGTTTAAGGGTTTAAGGATTTAGGGCTTATGGTTTAAGGCTCTAGGGGTTTAGGGGTTTAAGGGTTTCAGGGTTTGAGGATTTAGGGCTTAGGGTTTAGGACTTTAGGAGGTTAAGGGTTTAAGGGCTTGGGGTTTTAGGGCTCAGGGGCCTAGGATTTAGGGTTTAGGGGTTTAGGGCTTCGGCTTATGGCTTAGGGCTTAGGGCCTAGGGGCTTAGGATTTAGGGTTTAGGGGTTTGGGGCTTCGGCGTTTAGGGGTTCAAGTACCGGATCCCATCTGCCATGGTCCCCATGTAGTGGTCGGCCGTTCGCGATCGATTGCGAGAGATAAGCGCCGCCCAGCCACAGTGGGTGAGCTTAGAATGTGGGGTTTGGAGTTGAGGGTTTAGGGCTTGGGGTTTGGAGTTTGAGGCTTAGGGTTTAGCGTTTAGGGTGTAGGGGTGGAGGGTTTAGATAGGTTGTAGAAAAGCTAGCAACGACTGATGCCGCCACATGACTTTTTAGGTAATTACCTCACTACTCACCGCTGATACAAGTGCTAAACCCTGACCCGAACAAGTCGGTAGTTCTCAAAAATAGGATCCCCTTTTGCGAACCCGAATAAAACAGTACGTCCCAAACCCTAAGCCCTACACCCCTTGAATCCTGAACCCTAAACCCTGGAACCTTAACTACCAAACCCTAAGCCCTACACACCTTGAAATCCTGAACCCTAAACCCTAAAACCGCCTAAGCCGCCTCAGCCCTACACCCCTTGAAATCCTGAACCCTTAACCCGGCCTGCGTTCCTCCTGGACCCGTGCAAGAGGGGTCGTCTGGGCAGTCGATCAACGGTGCGCCGAAGTCGCAGAGCCACATCTGCCCGGCATACCTGAAGTTTAGGGTTTAGTGGTTTAGGGTTTAGGGGTTTAGGGTATTTAGGGTTTAGGGTTTAGGGCTCCGGTCTCATTAGAGTTAAGTGTTCGGGGGTTGTGGTAAAGGGTTGGGGATCGAAAACTCCATGGCGGTTTGTGTTACTGTATAGGTTCAGGGTTTAGGGTGTAGGAATATGTCATAAAGGGTTCTATAGGGTATGTTTTTTCGGCTTGGATGCCTTATGGGTTACTATGAGGGCTCAAAAATGGCAAAAGGTTTCTTACAAGGGTTTCTATAAGGGTTCCAAACAAGGTTCTAGAAGGTTCTACAAGTGCTTGCGCTCTAGAATGTCGGGCTTCAGAATTTCGAGTTGATGGGTTTACGGCCTCAGGGTTTGCGGTTTGGGCATCAGGGAATTAGGGTCAATACGGGTGTGAGCTTTAGGATTGAGACATTCTATAAGCCTTAGAACCACGATTCCATGGGTTCTATTTATTTACGAAAAGAATACGAAATAAATACGAATTGGAAATACGCTCCCACACACCCAGCACTCCCGTCAAATGGGTGTTCGTATTGTTTTCGTATTTTTTCGTATTTTTTTCGTATTTTTCCTATTTTCCCTAGGAAATGGGTGTTCGTATTGTTTTCGTATTTTTTTCGTATTTTTTTGGTATTTTTTTGGTATTTTTTCGTATTTTCCATATTTTGGAAATGCCCGTTTATTGGAGTCGTATTTTTCAATCGTATTTTTTTTGTATATATTTCGTAAATAAATCAATATCGGCCATCCCATCGTTCTGCAGACATAAAATGTCTCAACTTTAGGATAATCTTGCGATGTTGCGACATCCTGCCATGGTTGAACCATGATCATTCATGTCTTGGTCCTGATTCGTAAGGTGCTGACATTTGCGGCCAGCACCGATGCCAGACTGGAATGACATGCAACCCCACCACATCCATCCACATCCGATACCAACACCACTTCTGCTGCTGCTACTGCTGACAGCTGATAATGCCTACAATGCAGATCTGCTACAACCGCAACGGCTAAGATGTACCGCTGCTACTGCCGCTAGTGATGGCGAAACCACGATACTGGCAGGACAACTCTACCCCACCACGGTGGCATTATCGTGACCACCGCGGTAAGGAACGTCAAAGCCGTCGTCGGCTTGAATATGCCCGCACTCCACATCGTCAGGGAAATTGCAAATGCAATCATCCGCAACAAACAGCAACTAGCACTGCTGCAACATTGTTGCTTCAGACTGCGACCGGCGTCTGCGTGGTCAGCTGGTCAGTCTTCTACTCTGGCCCGACTTTCTGTGAGAACGAGGCCGAATCCTGTTGGATGTTTAAGGGCTGGTGGTCCGAGGGGTACATAATATGTACATGTATGTATATATATATAATACATAATATATATATATATATGTATGTATGTATGTATGTCTGTATGTATGTATGTATGTATGTATGTATGTATATGTATGTATGTATGTATGTATGTGTGTACATGTACATGTGCATACATGTACATGCATAATGCGCACACACACACACACATATATATATATATATATATTTAAAAAGTGTATAGTGTTTATGCATACCTATATATGTGTATGTGTATCTTGTACACATATATATATATATGTACATCTACATATATATATCTATATATATGTATACATCTACATATATATATATATATATGTAACATTATATGTATGTATGTATGTATGTATGTATGTATGTATGTATGTATGTATGTATGCATGCATGCACGCATGTATGTCCTTGCAATCCCCAATGCTCCCTAGCACTCCCGAAGGTATGCATAGTATACATCCTATAAGCTCGTTCGGGCGGCACATCCAGAACATTCTGCTCGCGGCTGATTTCCATGAGGAGTACAGCTTGCAGGAAACTGTTCAAGATGAAGAGAACATACACCTGGCCCACGAGCAAAGTCCCAAACCCTAAAATCCCGAATCCCTAAACCTAAACCCTAAACCCTAAACCCGGGTTTATGAAAGCCCTAGGCCCTACACGCAAAATGCATGCCTATACTAGAAGCCCAAGAGTTGGAAACCCAACCGCCTCAATCCTAAGACCTAAGAGAAAACGTATAGGGAATCCCTGCGCGAGTTGTCCTTAACCCGGGTTCCAACTTTTTTAGGCTTACTGTAGATCATAATCCCTAAGCAGTACACCTGGCTCGTGAGAAAAAACAATATGTCGCAATGGCTCAAGGCTCGAGGTTTGCGGGCTCCGATTTGTATAGCAGATTTCAGTATAGGGGCCTGCATAATTAGAATAGGGTTTTGGGGTCCATTATACTACACTTATCGTAAGAACCCCCAAAATAGTACTGGTAATGATTTAGGCGGTCATATTATAGGGTTCCGCTAGGGATTCCTATCAGGGTACTATTTAAGGCTTCCTATAAGGGGTTCTATAAAGGTTACTTACTAGATTTTAGGGTTTAGGGTTTAGGGGTTTAGGGTTCCATAACGGTTCCTACAAGGGCTCCAGCAACGGATCCTTCTGGAGTTCCTCTAAGAGATCTCGCGACGGCTTCCTTTATAGGGATCCTCTGAGACCTAAATCCTAAATCCTAAGCCCAAATCCCGACACCCTAAACCCGAAATTCCTTTGTAGGGATCCTCTAAGCTCCCGTGGCGATTTGAGTATCAAATCTTGGGCCCAAGGTTTAGGGCTTTAGGGTTTAGGGGTTTAGGGTTTGGGCTGCGTCCTTACTTGACAGGCTTTCTGCGCATTGCACCCTAATAAAACCCTCGGCGTTTCGGGTATTCAGAGTTGATGTATGGCCGTGCAACGATTCTTCGTGTACTGTAATAAACCCATGGGCGAATGCTTTACTATAGGGGCCTTAGAATTCGAACAGGGTTTGGGGGGCTCCTTATTTAGATTGTAGTATAATATACCCCGAAACCCTATTCTAACCATTAAGGCCCCTATATTACTGCAACAAAACCATGGGCGAATGGTTTACGCGTTGGAGAAGTCGGTTCTTAAGGGACAATAAGAGGGACCCCTATAAGGGACCCCTAATCCTAATACCCTATATAACTACCCTTACATATACCCCTCATATCGTCTCATAGAGCCCCTATATAACCCCAAGGGTCCCTTTCAGGGTCCCTCCTGTAGTCCCCTGAGGTTCCAAACGCCCCGCAAGGTTTCACTGAAGCCCGAGTCGCCAAGCACTACATCCTAAACCCTAGAAGCCAGACCCTTGGTTTAGGGTTTAGGGTTTAGAGGGGTTTAGGGTTTAGGGGCTTAGGGTTTAGGAGTTTAGGGATTTAGGGTTTAGGGTTTGGGGTTTAGGGTTTAGGTTTTAGGGGTTTAGGGTTTGGGGGTTTAGGGGTTTGGAGTT